AAAAAGAAACGAAGGTATAACCCAATAAGGCACGTTAAAAAAATCAACATTTTGCTGAATTAAGTTGATGTCTCGAAAACTCCTGTAGCTTACAGAATTTGAGGTCATCTATTAAGTTGGAGTGCAAAGCAGCATTTAATTATATTATACTCTATTTGGGACTACAACTAAATCATATAGGAGATGTATATTACCAATTTCGTTCAAAGTCAAGGGCTACTGACAAGTTAAATTTACCACAGTGATAGGAGTAAGCTTTACGTTTCTATTTACTTTAACATAGTCTTTATTTCAAAAAGGTATTTGTATCAAGGTTGGACTGGTGTTTCAAATTCTTAGGAAATGTCCCTATAATTGCCCAACCGTATGAGTATGATTATGAGTTAGTGAAAATGTTTTACATTTACTCGATTCATTGCTAAATTCTTCGATTAGTGAGCTGAAGGAGAGAGATAAATGTAGGCAGAAAAGGGCTAATCAAGTATACACTACTGCTATTATAATAAATATGATTAAAGAACTGAAATATTATTGAAACTTAATTTTGACAAGAACGTGTTTAACCCACAAAAATATATTACCGATACAAGCAAAACTCAGCAAACATTTCCATAGGTAAGCAAATTGTCAGTACAAAATTGCTTAAATAATCAAACGAATGTCTTTTTTAGTCATTATCAGCAAAACGAGAATATTAGGGCAAGTCGACAATAAATATAACTTCTCAATACCGCCAGTTTGCATTCGAAGCTCCACATATAGTCGAGTGTACTTTGAATACCCAAACTTAGGGGGGTTATACTATTTAATAGATTAAGGTATAATTCAGAAAAGTTTTTTCTTTATTAGTTATTAATGTTTATTTTATTGCCCTTCCTAATTTTTCGAATTTTTGCGTTTGAAATTACACATGTCTAAGCCTTTCGCATAAAAGTGTTTATTTTATAATTTACACTATAGCTTTTACCATTTTTATTTTAATATATATGTTCTAGTATTAACTGCCATCTCATAAACATGATACAATTTTATTGTACTATAAAAACAATCAATCTATTATACTAAAAGCCTTTAATTTATCTTAATAAAAAATTTAATGTATAAAGGATTAACTAAGTTAGCATAAACTAAATATATATATTGTTTATGTTAGCTAATGTTTGTTGTCCTTGAATTATCATGTCTACCCTTTACTTTCCCCACGATTCTCGCGCCTGCTTGCTCTTCGCCTCCCCGTTCTTCCTGTTCTTTCGCTATGGTAAGCCTGATTTTATTTCGGAAATGACAAGTTTTTTTTAAATCTAGGCTGATCAACTAACAGAGGAACAAGTAGCAGAGTTCAAAGAAGCGTTTTCTTTATTCGATAAAGACGGTGATGGCACTATAACGACAAAAGAGCTAGGCACCGTTATGCGATCCTTGGGTCAAAACCCCACCGAGGCTGAGTTGCAGGATATGATAAACGAAGTGGATGCAGATGGTATTTTCCTTGTTTATACTTAAACATAATACTAAGGCAACGGTACAATTGATTTTCCTGAATTTTTGACCATGATGGCACGAAAGATGAAGGATACAGATAGCGAAGAGGAAATACGAGAGGCATTCAGAGTTTTTGATAAGGATGGAAATGGCTTCATATCCGCTGCAGAATTAAGGTAAAGCTAGATTCTTTTATTTTTACTGCTTAAAAACCAACATTCTGTTAGTGTCTTGCTACTTGCATTTTATATTTGTGGGACTGGCATCGACTTACTTTTTATTCACCATATTAATTTATTAGTAAAGTGATGCTTAAAAACACCTCGACATGTTTTTTTATCCATAAAGGCATGTAATGACTAATCTGGGAGAAAAATTAACCGATGAAGAAGTCGATGAAATGATCCGCGAGGCTGATATAGATGGCGATGGCCAAGTGAATTATGAAGGTAATAATTTGA